ATCTATCCTGGAAAGGCCTGCCAGAAGAGATCTGTCTTGACAGCTTTTTTTAGGCTGTCTAAGGATGTCAATAGGTGGATCTAGTCCGGCAGGCCATTCCATAATCTGGGGGCAACAACAGAAAGGTGCTGAGGACTAGTCCAGATCCTGAATTTGGGACTTTTCGAACTTTATGCAGTATGGTAGCCCATGAAAATGTTCATCCAGCAGACACTTCAAAAGACCAAGGAACCTAATTGCACATTGGTCCAAGTTTACCTGACTACTCCACGTCCCCTATGAGACAGTGATGTAGATTCATGTCAATTGACTAGGAGCCTTATCGCTCTAGAAAAGGTAGCTGAAAAAGAGCCAGAGAGCCTTTCTCAAGTCAGACTCAAGTTACTTCGATGACCGGACTTGGACTTGACTCCTCAGCAAATGATGCACTGACTTGACATGAGTCACGACTTGTACAGTTTTTGTGACCAGCTTGCTGGCGAACTTCATCCAGAAACAGTAAACACAATAGGCGTTAGGCTTGAGGCAGGGACTGGGGAGGATGGAGTGGCTTAGTGGTTAAGATAGCAATTCTGACAATTGGAAGATTGGAAGGTTGGCAGTTTGAGGCCCAAGTGCTGCATGATGAGGTGAGCTCCTGTCACTAGTCTCAGCTTCTGCCAACCTAGCAGTTCAAAAGCATGCAAATGCAAGTAGGTAAATAGGTACCATTTCAGTGGAAAGGTAACAAAGTTTGGTGTGGTCATGCTGGCCACATGACCACCAGAATAGTCTTTGGACAATGCTGCCTCTTTGGCTTAGTAATGGAGATGAGCATTGCCCTGTACTGTCGGTTACGACTAGACATTCATGTCAAGGGACTACCTTTACCTTTACCTTTTGAGGCAGGGGCTGAAGTCTACTCAGTAGCCTGTCGCTGCTGCATATATCAGAGGAGCCTTCTAAAGCCTTTGAAAAGCTTTAGAGGGATCCTTCCACCTCAAACTTGAAAGGTTTTAGAAGGATCCTTCTGCCTCAAGGTTGGAAAGCTTTAGAAGGATCCTTCCACCACAAGCCTATTGCCTAATGCGTTTGCTTATTCTCCTCCTAGAAATGTGCCCTGAACCATGGGGCTGAGTTTTGCCTGTTGCTCCTAGGAAAAGCTTTAGAAGGCTCCTCTGATGCGCAGTAGGGATAGGCTGTTGAGTAGACCTCATTTTTAAAAAAATGCAATCTTGATGTAACTAACTTCGTGCAAGTCTTCGTGATTTTCTATATATTGAAACCCAACCCCACACCACCACCTCCTTTTTTTCTGTTAAGGTGGGCTTCCAGACTTGAGACTTGACTTGAAAATATCTTGGAAGGACGTGAGATATGCTCATTCCTATATGTAGCAGCAATCAATTTGGCTGTCAAGCTTTAAACTAATTCAGGATTATGATCTTGGTACAGTGGTAGCCCAATATAGAGTGCATTGCAAAAATCTAGCCTTGAGGTTACCAGCGTGTGCACTACCATCTTTAGGTTTTCTAATTCTAGGAAGGGGTGCAGCTGGCACAACAGATGATAGGTAACAGATGACGAACCGATTGAAAAATAGAAAATCAAAAAGACTACAGTTACCTTCATAACCTTACATTAATATTCTAATGTTCTAAGCAACTATCTTACTGCTCTATCTGTGATATGCATGAAGATACATCCAACAGTTTGGGATCCGGCTGTGCTGCTTCAGACATTGCTGCACTTCATTTCAAGCATGAAAGCTGCAGGATTCATCTAGAAAGTAAAGCTTTTCATCACCAGATTTTGCAATAACTTTTGCCATTACCTCTGTTTTGTCAATTCTGTCCACACTGTCATCACACTGCAGGGACAATGCAAGTGTGTCTTTAGTCAGTGTCTCAGTGAGGTATCCCTTGTCACTTTCTGTTAGGCACTATATGGTTGTGCAAAATGACACAGTGTGTAAGCCAGATCAGAAAGAAGCATGTTCTTGAAACTGTCCCTCTGGCTTCTTGTGCACTGGAGATGAGGAAGCTTAGAATAAATCCAGGACCATACCCGATAGTAAGACATAAAGTACTGAACATTTGAGGTGAAGGGAAAACAAAAACAAAACAACAAAAAAAAAGGAAGGAAGGAAAATATTTTTGTTTTATTGTACAGTCAGCCCTCCATATCCAGAACACTGCTCTCTATATTCTCTAATAAGCAAAAATCATTAATTTTATTCAATGATGAATCTATTAACATAATCAGATTTGCTGCCTTCCAACCTATGGTATCCTGGGATTTATAGTTTGTTGTGGCACCAGAGTTCTCTGAGAGAGTAAGCTAAATATCTCACAAAACTGCAAATCCCAGAATTCCACAGCACTGAGCCATGGTCTTTAAGGCAGTATCAAACTGCATTAATTCTGCAGCGTAGACGGAGCCCAAGATAGCCTGCTACAGCCAGAGTCTCTCCCAATTTTTGCAGATAAGTCTGCTGAGGCCAACAGGGAGGTGAGTAGCCTTTTTTCTTCTTTGGCATTGCTGGTTCTACTCCTTGCTCCTTACTGACATAGAAGATGTTCTTCTTTCTCCAGGTTCACTTGGGTACATGAGCCATGTCTAACTCTAACCCCTCCAGCTTCTTACAATGGCATATTTGCATATTGATTCATCTAAAGATGCATTTTGTACTCACTCCAAAATGGGAGTAGATGAAGTCCATAGTATAGACACCAAATGATATGATAATTACAAGTATTGTCACTCAGCATTTGAAGATAAATGATATATAGATTACAATATTGAAAATGGCAGGAATTCTGCTGCTGGTCCTTGTAATGGATTTAATATATGTCTGCCACATCCAACCCACTTCTTCTATTTTGCTTCCCAATTTTTGCATCAGGATTATTTGATAATTTAGCATTGACAAATAGATCAAACCGTAATTAACAAGAGCATACACCAGATCCTCCTGATCACAGAAATTGTTACAGGAAGCATTCTTTTGTACATGGATCCCAAAGCATCCCATCCAAGAAGAAGATGTGTCAAAAGGTTGGTTCCAACATTGCCCATAGAGGAGTGTGAGGATCCGAAAAAGTTTGCCAGTCAGTTGAATCCTCCAAGAGATGACACTTGTGTCTTGAGAGAGAACTAGACAGAGATCCTTTCTCACCAACTTATGAATTTCTTAAAAGCAGCATTAAATTTATGATATTTTAAAATGCTATAAACCACTTTCAGAATGACTGAAAAACAGGATATAAATCTTACAAATACATAAATAACTTGTCTTGTATCTTTAAGTATACCAGATGTCGGGAGGGGAGGGGGGATCTGTACGTTGGGATAAGAGTTATGTATCCTGCCTTATTACCCATGATGCAACTATTAATGTGGCACATAATAACTCTTGCTGCAAGAGAGAAGACCCAAAGGCAGGAACAGAAGACAAGAAAGAACTGATTAAACAGCAGCACTACCAAAAGAGCCTCCTTGTGACTTTCAAGGTCCGCTGTGCAGGTCTTTCCCATTCTTTCTCACCTGATACTTCTAATTGGAGATGACAAATACTGAACCTCAAACCTTCTGGATGTGAGCAATATGCTCTGTCACTGACTGTTCATTTCTCAGACTGGAGGTCGGGATGATGGCTGTTTGAGAATGCAAATCCTGGAAGTCCGTGAGGGACATCTGGGAGTTGCATTCACAAGCAGCGATTATGTGAAGATCCTGGAAGCTGCAGTCTAAAAAGTAACCTTCTCAGACTCATGTCTGGTACCTATTTATAGGAACACTGGCTGAAGTATAATTGCCACCCCAAAAAGCTTAATGGATTCTCCTGCTTTCCTGCTTCTCCCTTTTAAACTTCTGGAATCTTTCATTGTTGTTGATGATGTTGTTAACTGCCTTCAAGTTGACTTCAAGCTATGGCAACCCCACGAATGAGAGACCTCCAAGTCACCTTATAAACGCCCCTGCTCAGGTCTTGGAAGCTCCTGGCCATTGTTTCCTTGATTGAGTCTATCCATCTGGAATGTGGTCTTCCTCTTTTTCTGCTGCTTTCTACTGTACCAAGCACTGTCATCTTTTCTAGTGAGTCATGTCTTTTTATGATATGGCCAAAGTATGCCAGTCTCAAGTTTAGTCATCTAGTGCCATGCCCTGCCTCCAGAACATGGACATGGACTCTGACTCAAAGACTGAATGAAACAGTGGACCTGCTGAGACTTGCTGCTGAACCAGAGCAGGAGGAGGTCCCAGAGACACAACATCTAGATGCAGACCAGAGTTCAGTACCAGCTCTGGCAAAGAGTCCTGCCCATTCAGATATAGAAGACCACT